GAATTTTTTTTTGTAGTCGCGCTTGAAAAGAAAACTTATACTGAACAATGTGAGACTTTTGTGAATTTTGCAGAGAGAAGAAATTACAAATAAATGTTGTTGTTGCTTTAAAATAAACGTAGAAGAAATATAAATACAAGTAATGTTAAAAAAAAGTCTTATCTCAAGTCACAAAAACGCATACAACGACGACGAAATTGCCAATGTTTATGTGCTTCAGATGTTTGAGCGATCGTGAGTAACATTTAAATATGACTATGAAAAATTTATATGATTCACAATCTCTGATCGACTCGCACACATGAGTAGTTAAAAACCGTGTGGTTAAATACTCCCTCGAAATGATCATCGGATGTACACAAGTGTGAATATATGAGCTGCCGCTCTTCGAAATACAAACGTGTATGCATTTATAACTCACACAACACATGTTCTCTTTCATATTAACGGCATTTGTGTATTTTTTAGCACATATCTGAACTTTCTGCCAATGTACGGATGATATCGTTTTTTCCTATTTTGTATTGTTGCCTTCTATCAGATCATCTTTCATTTCAAATTGTTTATTCAAACTACGCTAGTGTCTGTTAAACTTTTTTGCCTAAAGTCACAGTTATAATGATACTCATTATCAGTGTTGTCAGATAGGTACCTTTGAAAAGGTGCCTCAACGAAGCATGGTAGCTTTTGCCTTTGTCTAGTCATCACCTATTTCTAGGTAATGCCTTTGGCTAGGTATTGCTTTTGACTAGGCATATCTAGGCAAAGGCAAAAATTTCTGCCTATACAAAGGTAATGCCTGGGATAGATTTTTGCCTTTGATAGGAATTTGATAGGTTACAACTCTGCTCATTATGAATTGGACTTTTTTTAAAGAAAACGAAATTTGATAGCAAAGAAGTCAGGCACAACTAAACTCTAGAAGCTGCTTCAAGCAAGCTAATATTGTCTTAACACAGATTGTAGTAGGTTTAACCAGGTTTATTACATAAGATCAGATAAGATCAAAACCTTAACAGTTTTAGTGTTTCAAAAAGGCGCTTTAGTTTTTTTGAAATTCATTCAGTTTCTAGATATGAATAAAATAAAAACACATATTGGTGCATGTAAATAACTTTAATTCATTTTTGCCTACATGTATTTCAGCCTGGTTTTTTCTTTACGATTCCTATAAATGAATACGTTTCTTAGTGAAGGTGAATATACTTTAATAATTAAATATTCTTTTGAGCAATTTAATTTCTCACATTTCCTTTACTTATTTCCATTTGCTACTGTTCAATAAATTTTTAAATATTTTGCACATTTTGTATATTTCTAGTCCCAGGTATATGTTAGTTTAATAATTCTCCATTGTAATCACATCATTTTATATTCGACCATCAAATCGAAGATTCAGGCAGTTTGAAAAATGGATTTTAATTAGCTACAAGCTCATCATGTCATTTGATCATAAATTTTTCTTTATTATATCCGGCATCATTCAATAATATTCACTCGATTGACCTTACATACATCGTCTGTGAATTGCATAAGACATGAGACAATAGACGGTGAACAGTTAAATTAAAAAGTTGTTTTTATTTTCTTTTGTTTTGCTCTTTCGCGTTTGACTTTAATAAATTTCTTTAAAAAAGTACATTGGCAAATATCTTAACATTTCTATGTTAAAGTTCTTCTCCATTTTCATTTATTCCCTTATCATTTCTATCCCGAAATAATATTTGCAACAAATAAATGAAGCCAAAGCATGGAAACGAGTAAAAAAATATCAATTTCTGAGTTTTTTGTTCCTAAAACAGGCAGGTTGAGATTGATGTATTGAGCAATGAAATGATTCATTTTTTTTTGTAATTTGATCTTAAAAATAATACAATAATGATATATCTTCTTGAGACTAATTTAAAAGCTTCTTCCACTTTACATTTTGTGCGCCTGAATGCTTATAAGTCATACTAAGCATGAATAAAGGAATTTTTCATGAGTAAATGATGAATATCCCAATCACGTCTGAATATCATGTCTTCTCCTCGAACGTTCGAAAACCAGTTTGGATTTTTGTCCATGTTCATTGAAATTTTTATTAAGCTTTATTTTGCTTTCTTACCTTACTTTACATCCGAAATTCCGGTTCAAGGACGAATTTTCGGTACGCGAAGTTTATAATGAAGGATGCATGGACATATATAAGTAATTTTAAAAATATTATCCATTCATCATTACAGCTTATCGATGGCAAATATTTTGTATCATAGTTTTTTTATCTATAGAGAAGATTAAAAGAATCTGAGTGTATTATAATAGCAAAGTCGTATTCAGACAAATTATTTTGTTCTTAGAAAATATTTCTCTCATATTACGAATACAGGAACTTTATAAATATATGGGCTTGGTCGTTTGTTAAATAAGTGTCAGAAATCAAAAAATGTTAACGTTTTTCTCTTTTCCTGGATATCTCCGTAATTATCTCAATAAATAGTGTTATAAAGGTTTTGAAAACGAGCGTTTTCATGTGCATAACATATCACAAAGTCTTTTAATTAACCCAGAAAATCCAAAAAACTATCGATTTCTGACACTGAAAAAAAGTTCCATTATTTTGAATTTTCACAAAAAATACTAATAACTTTGCGAAAACTTCATTAGAAGATTATATCAAATTGTAGGATTTTCAATTCTTTCTAATCTTTTGCTATTAAAATCTTCAAAAAGCTTGTTTAAATTAGGGCGATTCTCGAGAAGAATTGAATTTTTCAAAAGTGAATTGTAATTCTTCATTTAATTTACTTGACACTTCAAATTTGAGAAAACCGTTAAAAAATATATGTTTCAAACGATTTTTTCCGGTTCTGTGGTCAATTGTAGGTTGAAAATTTAGTTTATATGCATTTTAATGATTATTATAAGATATAGTTTAGATCCAAGATATATAGATGTGCTCATACAAAAATATCGCAGTTTTTAAACGTCAAAAATTTGAATTTTCTAAAAACACTAACACTATAAAAGAAAATTTTCAATTTTTGTTTTGCAAAATTTTCAACTTTCTGTTAAGTTTTGTTGATACAGGAGTATTGCAAATGCTTTGCTATAATTTAAAGAAACTGACTTAAGACAAATGTTGTTGCATCTGTCGATATTTAAATGAAAACTTGAAAATAGGAAATTTTAAAAATTTTTGTTTGTATAAGTACAAAAAAAATAGTATGGTCGAGTATGGTCAAGTATACTCTGTATGAGCCCATCTATATATCTTGTTTAGATCATTAACATTTTTGTGCCAAATAAACTACTGAAAGTTTTAAAATCTAACGGTTTTTATCAAATTTTAAATTTTTCGTTGAGCAGATTTTCCCCTATAAAGCGTTTGCGTTGCTCGGCAACATTGAATTTTGTTCGAAGAATCGATTTTTCTCTTAATTAAAGCATTAAATCAAAGATGTGTTATTTAAATATGATAAAACTAAAGACGATCTACCATTTAGTATGTATTAAGTGCAATAAAAATAATTCTTTGATAGGAATTTTTTGATTCTTCGTAATTGAATTCCATTTTTGGTTGCCGAGCAACGCTTAAAAAAATTGAAAAAACTAATGATTTAAGCTTAATTATGATTTCTAAATGACTTTAAGAGATAGAATTTGGAAAAATACATCTGTTTTAAATAAGAACAAACATGCTTTATTGGGAAAATTTAAAGAAAAATCAATTTGAAAGTGACTTTTGGCTGATTTCCCCGCTGGAGAATCGCCCATTAGTTAAATTAATGATTTTTCTGAAACATTTTTTTCATATCGGTCAAAATTTGAATTATTTCATTCGTTTGTTTACATCACAAAAAAATATGTGAATTAAAAAAATCGTTTGAAGCTCATTAATTACACATATTTGGAAGCTGAAAAATTAGGAACAGATCTAGAAAAATTTATTGGATGCATTACAATGCTCAAAAGAAAACATTGATATTAATTTAAATGATATTTTGCAAAATAATTTTTCATTTTATTGAAGGGGAAAGTAAGAAAAATTGAATTCCAAAATATTCAATGGAACTTTTTATTCGACCGAGCCCATATTCAACACCTCTTGATGATTAAAAATTACTATTTTATTTGAATAATTTAGGTACATTGAATTCTAGTCTTTGTCGATTTATTGACTTACATCAACAAGTGTTCTAAATAGTTTTCAAGCATCTCATTCAAAAACTAATTGACTTAATTAGAATTTTTTAAAATTAAATCAACCACAACGAGTAGCAAAAGAAAGGTGTAAAGGCATTTTCAAAATATGTCTAAAATAATGGATCACAACTTAACGCCTTCGAGTATTTTTTTTTCTCTTCTCTATTCATTCAATTAAGTAACACTTCAGACTTAGAAAAAACTAGCAGCATGAGAATAGTATAATAAAGAAAAAAAAAGTTTTTTTTTTATTATGATTGATGACAATTGGTTTAGAATGGGTTAAAAGTAAATCGAACATAGAATAAGCTTCTTTTCAATTTTAAACATAACATAATTTTTGATCAAACCAAAAATGTATCTCTGTCTACGTATATCGCAGTTGAAACCTTTATATCAGTGTTGCAAATGTAGATGTCTACACTAGATGAAGAATGTAGATTCTTCAATAGTTTTTGTCTAGCTAAGAAACTTTCTTCATAAAGATCGATTCTACATTAAGATAGAAAATCTAATCTACACAAATATTATTTCTACATAAAGATTCTGTCTACATAAAGATTCGATGTAGATGTCTACGATTCTACATTTTTTCTAGGTCTACATCAGAGAAGAATGTAGAATTGTAGACATCTACATCGAATCTTTATGTAGACAGAATCTTTATGTAGAAATAATCTTTGTGTGGATTAGATTTTCTATCTTTATATAGAATCGATCTTTATGAAGAAATTTCTGTCTCAGAATTTATCTGATCCAGACAAATCACCAGAATGCAACACTGCTTTATATATTGATGACTAATAATGGCGCTTATATTTTTTATTTTGATTTTTTTGTTTTTATTCATTTTAAAACCAGAATTTTTGTATAAAGTTCAAGTTACAAAAGCTACCATATTTATATCCTATACGCATTGGATAAAATTATTAGGTATTAAATTTATTTTTTCATAAATCAAAATGATAAGATTATTGTATTATTAATTATTATCATATAATAATTATTGTCTTTCGTCCAAAAACCAGCCATGGAAAGTTTTTGTCACTGGATCTGACAAGTTTTTAAATTCACATCTTCCCAATTCATTAAAAGTTTTAGCATCAAGCACCAACAATATTACTCGATTGGAATCTGCCTCTCCATACGAAACAGATGAAATTACTACACCGTCATCTTCTGATGTTGCATCCTTGGATGGTATGAACAATGGTTCGCTTGGATATGCATTTTTTTCTTTCCAAATTTTTGTTGTTTTATTCTCAACATCAACCTTCAACAATGTACATGGATATTCTGCATGGACGTCATATCCAACACCATAGAAGTATTTATAATACTTGCCGAGGTACTTATCATACCAAATCGTCCCAAATTCCAATGGAGTGTTACAAATAACTTCTGGGACACAAAAAACGGAACCATCAGATTTCACGAATGCTTCAGCTTCCGTTCCTTCTAGCGAAACAAGGTTTTTCTTTTCAATATTTTCTTCTTTTAGTACATTCAATGGCATGACAAAGCGAAGAACACGTGAATTTAACATGTTTGTCTTTATCTTTTCTTTCTTCAATTTAATCAAATGGTTGACAAGCAATCCTTTTACCAATTCTGCATCATTGTAACAACTCAAATCGAGCACAACATGTCCATCCTTTTCATACTGATTGACAGTATGGAAGTAGAAAAATCCTTCTGTTTCAAAAGTATGCTTTACTTCACCCGAAACTCTATCAACCAAAAAAATGTACGTGCTTTCATCTTTTAGCCATTTAAATGAATTCACAAATGGCGTTTTTAAATATGATGCAATCTTCATTTGAAACGCAGGCATTGATAGTGGCTGTTCAATGATAACAAAATAATTTTCAGTGATGCCAAACGAATGCATGTATCCCGGACTAAATTTTCGTTTTGCTGGCACTTTTGCGATTATCTGAATATTATCAAACTTGTCTTCACCGTTGGGGATGCAAAATATAACGTACTTTGCTCCTTCAGATGTTATTGACAAACCACATTGATAAAATTTTCCATCATAAACCTGGGGATGTGCTGGCTGAAAAACAATCTTTGTGGATTTGTTCAAATCAACTCGTTCTAATGTTTCCAATGTTTTAGGATTAAATTTTCGAATAATTGGTGTTTCAGTAAGTGCAAACATGTCAGTATCTATGGGATATACTGTTACTAGTGTATTGTCAGACGTTTCATCATGTTGTGAGAAAAAGGCACGTACTCTAATGAAAAAAAAATAGGTTGAATAATATTTAAAAGTTCTTTTTGCGTTGAAAATATTCTTTACTTTTGAATGAAGCTTCCATTGCTGATTGTTGTGGTTCCAAATTCATTAAATGCCAAACGATTTTCGGATTTTACTTTTTCGTATGCTTCACTCTTGATAAATCGGCACTGGTACGTAATATTTCCATTTTCAATATGAAAGCGATGAAGTAAGGCCATTCCATCGAACACATGATTTAATGAGACATCGCCAATTTTAAATGAACCTGGACCATTTAGAATAAAACTTCCTTTAATCCAGTTTGGGATTTTTCCTGTTATTTCTCCATTTATTGGTTCAATTATCTCATCTTTTCGACTTCTGATCCATACTTCCGCATCGTAGTTGTAGAAGTTTTTATCCTTTTTTAATCATAAAATATCAACAAATGAAGAATTATCTACAGAAATGATACTTACTGATTCTTTAATCAGATCACCAATTTTCTTATAGCTGAATTCTTGATTTTCTGTCATGATTTTTTTTAAAAAAATTCCAATCGTTCTGTTTGGTTACACTTTTGAAACTGGCTGAATTAACATAATAAAAAGATATTTTTTTCGAGTTTTTTTAAAATTTGACAAACAAAAAATGTAAATGTGAATATAAGTCACACATTTTTTTTTTTGATAATGTGTTTGCTCTCATCACTAATGCAATCATATACAAATAAACAACGAATTCTAGATTCTACATTGAAAAGCCGGCTAGAAACATTTCTTTTTAGCTGTTAAATGCTTATGATTTTATAATGATGTAATGTTAAAATGTTAATTGATGCCATAATTCAGAAATAACCAAGGCAATTTAAGATATTGGCTGAAAAACTTACTTTTCTTGAACAACCTTTAAAAGTGAATGAAGGGAAGAATGTCGTATTATCGGATGGTTTTTCATACAAATGTATCAAAATAACAAGAAATGTGTCTGTATTTATATAATGTTTACAGCATATGTTGCATCCCCATACACGCACAAAATTCAAACAAAAAAAAAAGCATGATTATATTGTCATACATTTTTTTTTTGTAAAAATCAGTAAAAACAAGTACAATATGTTGTCAACCGATTTGCCAAAAATTTACCACTGTAAATTCTTATTGCGTACCAATTTTTGAGAAAATAACTTAATTTAAAAAAGAAGATTTCCTTCACGTGCTTGAAATTTTCAATTTGATAGGTTTGAAAATGTTTTAACCATGCTACGGACACGTCGAAATTTCCGTTAAATTCTTGTTTAAATTTCTAAAAACCGTTAAATAATTCAAATTTTTGGAAACCGTTACATCATTCAAAAAATTAAAATACGTTATTCAATATTCTTCTCAGTTCTTCATTTTATTTGAATTGTGATGCATAAAATTGCTTTCTATATACAAATCTTGCCTGATGTGCTATTTTCAGTCGATAGGTAATAAATGACGACAAAAAATTTTCTAAAATAATATCACAATGATTAAAACCAACAACCATCTTGCTTATAACAAAACGCGGAAACATTTTCTTAAGAACTGAAGTGCTTAGCTTAAGATCTTCAAGAGCTCGATAGATAAATTCCACTCTAAAGCAAAATGACAAAAGTAAAGAAGAAGGTTGAAGTTTACATTTTGATTGTAGCAAGAAAAAAGAATTCAACATATCAGGCTCATTTGACGTAGATACATAATTATCGATGCACAAGTTGCATGAATACTTTGAAAATAAACTATCCAAAATGCTTCCAATTCCCAAAAAAAAAGTTTGCAACTCTAATTCGTGATCAAATAAATTCTTGTTCTTCAGGAAGTCTAAATAATGTAAATCCATCAGAACGACAACTTCTGCACTTTGGTAAAATGCAATTAGTCATTGCAAGTTAAATTCAGTGAGTTTTAGTATGTTTTAATTGATATATTTCAACAAAATAAATTTATAGAAAAAAAATTTTTTTATTTGTTTACAAATTATTTGAGAAAAAGATAACGGTGAATTAAAATTTGAATTTTGTATAACTTGTTGTCAAGTGTCGATTTTTTGAATTTAGTCGACCTTGATGTAGGGTTACCATCTAATTTTCATGAAAATACAGGACTTTTGGTAAATTTTTTCGAAAAATACAGGACATAGAGTAAAATTTGAAAATTAACGGAAATTTTCGTGAAAAAAATACAGGACCTGGAACAAAGTTTTCAAATTTATACAGGACAGGGTTTTGAAATACAGGACTGTCCGTTGTAAAACTACGCAGATGGTCACCCTACCTTGATGTCGAAAAAAGTCGATACTGAAATGTCCGTAGCATGGTTTTAACTATAAAATCATCTTGAACAAATAGTAAGATGCAATAGAACAAAAATTTCCGATAAATAAATTAATTACTTTTGTTGAGTAGTGGAAGTTTTATGACATTATGATGATACTTAAATGTTCTTCATTCATTTGATGTTTGTGACCTATCCTAATAAAATTATTTCCAAGAAAAGCGTTTAATTATGATTGATTAAATGAATCAATTGTTCGGAGAATAATTCCGTATTACCTATTTTAAAAACCATTCTTATTATCATTAGTAAGACTTTTAATCAAATACAGTTATACAGGGAAATAAATAGTTAAAAATATTTATGGCTGTTTCTTGTCAGTTCCCATAAGTTCCTTATATTCAGAAATTTTTTCTCGTGTTTGCTGGAGTCTTTCCTTAAGTTGAGCAATTTCTGACTTGACCTTTATCCTAGTATCCTGAATGTGCTCAAGAGTCTTTACTTTTTTCTCTTCAACTGTATGCAAAAATAATAAGGACTTAGAATGACTACAGATTAATACAAAAGTTAAGAGCTTACAATCAGTATCGTGTGTCCAACTTCCTGACGAAACTGGTTGAATTGTGTTTAGCATTTGTTGCATTAACTGTGATGGTTCATAAAAGACAATTTCGTCATAGAATTCTGATACAAGACGTTTCTTAGTGTCAATTATTGGAGGAATTGTGGATGGGCCTTCAATATTTGGCGCAGATCCATCTGAAGGTGGTTGAAAAAGCTTCAGAATGTGATAAAATGTCACAGGTTTATAAATCGTTGGATCATGAAAATAAATCTTGATCACAACTTCAAATTCTCCCCATCCAGTTTCGCTTACTTCATATGGAGGCTTAGTTATAATACGATTTGGATTTTCATAACTTTCATGTAATTTAAAGTGTATTTTCTTAACATAAGTTTGCATATCCTCATTAATATATGGTTTGACATATACAGTCCATTGATGTGTGTGACCATCTGCAACAAATAATTCATCAGTCACTCAACCGAGCATCAGTTTTGAAACATACCTTCTTCTCTTTTCTTGCCAAATGCTCGCGAAACATTTCCATAAACGATTGGTTTGACTTCAACAACGCCCTAAAATGAAAGTTTCATTGAATATTGTTAAAACTTTTGTTAATTAAAGTATGAATTAGGCATTACACTTTCCAGATCTGATGCTTTTTGAATATGTCTATTTTAGTCAATAAGATCTCGATTCTGGTCGTCTTAATATAACTATATCTTTTAAATGACCACTAATTACCGAGTCTTTATTGCCATACTATAATATTGTGATATGCTATGTATTTTGACGGATGTATAATCACAAATTGTGTCCACTAAAGCAGTAAAAACAGGAAAATGCAAATACCTAATAATATATAGATAGTACCTTCATTCTTCCTCCAGAATCTGGTCCGAAATCAGAAAACTTCAATAAATTAGACATTGTCGTGGATGTGCTGTAATTTATGATTTTTATTGAATTTAAGATTATTCTGTAAATTTAGGATTTTTGTAATATTTTGTTTATTTTTTAAATTTGAATTTCAAGCGAACGTTATGCTAACTGGACACTGGAAGTAAGAAAATACTTGCCTAGAACCCGACACAAGTAGAACTGTTTATATAAACCGCTGATTAAGTAAAGAATTAATTATTTTAACCAGGAAAACCACAAATCCTTGTATGACTTTGGGTGTAAAATTACTGTGCTAGTATTATAATAATAATGCTAGTATTAATGCACGGCGGAATCGATTTCATTCCTCTTGTTCGTTCAGTGAACAAATGAAAAAGAAAAGTACAAAAAGAATTTAAAAATAATAATCAAAGCGCATTTTCTTAACCATCAAACAGTTAATTTCAAAATAGTATTAACCCATATTAACACCTTTTAAACAGCTAATAATATGGACAAAAAGCAGGTAAACATAAAATAACATATATTAAATTCTAGACAATATATAAAATAAATATTCAACGGACAAAGGTTCACAAAAGTTCCATTTTTATTTTTCTACTACCGCGCTAATCTACTTTTACGAAGAAGAATAAATATTCACATTTTTAAGTTTTTAACAAGAAAACCCGACTTTTCGGGACTGTTTAAGCCTTGCAACATACTGTTCTCGTGACTTGCTATCATGTAAAGTTATTGTAATTAATAAGAAAAAGCATTTGAGAGATATAAAAGGAAAATTTTGAAATTGTGAATCACACAACAACAAAAAGTCACATCAAATTTAAATTTTTTTGATAAATTATGGAGTCATCCTCAGCATTGGAGCTACTTTCTCGTGCAGCATTAAATGCTCAGGAACATGAAGGTAAAGATGATCAGTTTTACTTTTGAGATTTTTTCTTTTGCAACATAAATTTCCAACTTTTTAGCAGCTATTGAGTTAAGTAAACTGCCAGCCAAGAAAAGATTAACACAGCTTAAAGCTCAACAGAATGCCATATTAAATTCAACAGCACCCACCCATTCTAGTTTATCAATAATACCCATCAATAATCAAGCAGTATCTGCGCCCATAAATTCCAGTAACAATAATAATACAATCAAATCGTCATTATTGGATCGTTCAGAATTAATGGAACAAGACGACGATGAAGAAATTAATGTTGACGGTGACCACGATGATAGTCCATTAGATATGCGAATAACTAAAACAAAGCATGATTCTGACGATTCGGTTCGCCCAAGTGTCATTCGACGTGCTCCGTCATTCAAAGATACTAACTCGAATTCACCAGGTAATCTCCATCTTATGTCTTAATAATAGCTTATTGCAAAAATGTCATTTTTTTAGATCCGTCATCAACTTGTGATCCATTTATTGATGAACATTTTAGACGTTCTCTCGGTACTGACTATGATCTCATTATGCGAAATAAACAATTGGAACAAGAGCAAAAGCAACGAATGTTAGAAGAACAATTACAGCAGCAGCAACAACAACAGCAAGCAGCTGTTATGCATACACAAAGTCTACTTAAACTCAAGCACCATAAAAAGCATCAAATTCATCAACATCACCAAGCAATGTTAAGCATACAACAAGAAAATCAACTGCCAATTCAAACGACACCAATACAAATTGTCCCACAATTGCAGCCACAACAACAGAAACAAGTGATAATCACTGAGCACAGTGATACTAATGAAATGTCTGTTGACGATCACTTTGCAAAGGCTTTGGGTGATACATGGAAGAAGATTCAAAATGAGAGCAAATGAAGTTGCTAGTTGTACGGTAACAGGACTTACATACTTACATTTAAAAATTTAACTACATATAGCATTTATATGCTTTAGGAAGCAAAGAGTCTTGGACTCTATTTTTAATGGTGTACCTTTTCCTTACATCTTCCTTTTTAATTAATCCTACTTTTACGAATATATTCTCATTCGGTGGCAATCTGAATTTTTTGAATGTTTTTATTCATCTTAAACTACTTGAAACTGATCTTGTTAAATTACACAAAAGCTATATCTTTTTATACATATTTTAATAATTTTGTAATACAATTATTATATAGGTACTTTAGATTTTATTGACTTTCTTAAAACCAACCACTTTTTGACGTTAAAACAAAACAAACGAATATCGTAGTGAATGGCTACATTATTAAATTATCAAGTAAAATTTTTGAAATCAAAAGAATTTCCTCAAAACATTATTTTACTAATTATCAACGGGGATATATGAAAGAAATGACGAAATAACAGAATTTGCCTTAAAAATGGGAATCAGTTTCCATAGCATACTCTATTTTTTTAATTATTACACTTTTACATAAATACAGCAAGAACAGCGGTCGATCAAGAAGAAGATGAATTCAGTTCCTTCAACGGATTAACGAATAACATAATGGATGTAGATCGACTATTAACAAATTTACTAATTTTTTTCTATGATTATATCACATTTCATTTTTGATAATATTTTAGGCTTACATGAAGGAAGAGGAAGAATGGAATTTTATAGTTATTAGGTTGCTTATGCTCAACAGAAATAATTGTGAAAAATGAATAATTTTTTTCAAAAGTGATCGATTTTTAAAAAAGAAAAAAAATGATAAGTTTAGGGATGGGATGAAAGAGATAAATAAATATATTAAAACTATAATGAAAAACTAGCTTCCACAGTTAATTGTGGGGGTTTACACTCAATTCAATTAGATTTTAGGCCTGATTAAATAAAAAAATCATGTATCCAGTAATCTTGGGTATCAACTATTAATATAAATATATATAGTTCTTCGTTGATGAATCATTAAAAATGCAGATAATTCTTTAATTCTATTTTTAAGATGATGCTGTTTTTATTAAACTTGAAAAGAAAAACTGATGATGAGCGAAAACAATTGTGAAAACATATTTAGAGTTTAAAATAAATGAAATGAATTTTTTAATAAAAAGTAAGCAGTTCTTTGAAATCAAGGTTTTTTCTTTCGAGGTTCAACAAGTTCTAGTGCCGGTATAGACGAATTTTTGTACCAAAGTGTTGGCTGATCTGTAATGTTTTCTCCAAATACTTTTTGGAGTCTATCCAGTACCATTTGTTGTATCAATTCGACTTGATGATTCGGTGTATATCCATCATTTGATGATCTCGAAATTGTCACCATTACTGGCATTTTATTTAAGCTCTTTAAGAATCTCTCAAACTTGTCAATCATTGTCTTTATCTCTTCCTCGCTGCTTTCATGATGAGGAAGTTGGTGCTGCTCATCATCAATTGTACATCCAGCATCGTTAATAATGAACCAGTCGATGTCATATATTGAATAATGATGGCACAAACTGTCAATTAGCTCCTTAACGACTTCTAATTTTTCTTTCATGCTTTCATCTTCTAATTTATACTTTTCTAAAGATCCATTCTGAGCCATATGCTGAAATACTGTGTCGAAAAATTCTAATTTGCGATTACGTTCTGATACAAATTTTGCAATACTATCTGGATCATTTAAATCATAGTTTTTGTCCATTTTAAAGATTTCCTTCAATCTCTCATACGTATTTGCTTCCGGATAAATTGAAATGAATGGATTTAGAGTACTAAAGTAGTCAAGATCAATATCGAGTATCCATGTACGATTATCTTCAATTAATTCAGCTATTGATTCACTAACTTGCGCTACTGTCAACTTCACATCTTTTTTATTTTGTAGCAATGTCTCTTCCTTATAACTTCCATCAGTCAGGAAGTAATCAAGATTTGAGCTCACACTTATCTTTCCATCAAAATCTCCCACTGAAAATTGATGATTGCCATCAGAAATTTGAGTTGCAAATTGTGGATGTATCCAAATTATTTCATTGATGTGTCCTGCATATGTTAATGGAACTAGCCAATTTTCAATACTTAAACTTTCTAGTAATAGGCTTCTATTATAGACTGTAGCAGCAGGCATCTGTCGATTGATACAGCAATCAGGATGTGAATCAAAATGTATCATCAAGTTATTTTGAAAGGGCAGATATAAATTGGCAAGTGAAGGAAGAATCAATTCCAAAACATCATTATGATTCTCGACAATAAAAATTGGAATTTTGGTGAATTTCTTCGACTTTGGTTTGTAAAATTTTGATGATGATGGTTGATCATCGCTTGTAGCCATGCTCTTAAAATATAATATTTTAAATTCAACTTAATTCTTTAGAGTTAAAGACATTACCTTAAACAATTCTGTTTCTAATTGCGAATTTTGTTTGTTTGAATACAAATGATTGTGTCGTAGTAAAAGTGGCATAAAATTCATTCTTAAGTTTCCAAATTTTTACACATTTGGAATCATAGACATGCAAGAAACCTTTGACCATTTTGTCACTTATAGCTTCTTAGACGTCGACGTTTTTTTTAAGGATTTTTGCTTAACGGAAATAAATAATATGAATTTTTAACTAGCACTATCATACATACGTGAGTAATGCTTAGTTAAAGTGATTTTTTCAAGTAACTGAAAAGTTTCAAGAAGTGAATTATACAACAATAGATGGAAATTTTAGTTTTCTTTTTAAAAAACCAACTCTCAAATTTGTCACTTTTAAGGATAAGGAGATAATCAAGAAAAACAGCGTGACTCACGTACAATTTGTTTGTGACGAGGCACTCTTTAATTTTTTGGTCCAGAATTTTAGAAACATGTTCACGGATCTTCACCTTTTAATTAATAACAACTATTTTGTTCACTTCTCTTGGAAGCTACTCGTTGCATAAATTAATGTTGTCATAAATTAAGTTTTTGATCATTTTGAGTCAGCATGACAATTACGGCATGTGATACTTGGGAGAATAAGTTGTTTTAAATAAATACATAGAACCCATTTGAATGCTATGCCATTTTCACTCTGATTCTTTCATCTAGACTCGCCGAAAATTTTAGGGCAATAATATTATTATGACTGTTCACGTGCATGATGTAAGAAATTAAATTTATAAAAGGAAGCCAACAAATTTAATGACTTCAAAAATATCTATTCAAATCATCAGACCTAACATAATAAAATATTAAAATGTCCTTATTACATATATGAATCCTTAGCACTCGCACTTTACCATTTCACCATTTACTTTTGCAAAGTCTCGAAACTTTTTCAATATTCATGACCCCTTCTGAGAATAATGCAAAAATAAACTTATTGTTTAAGAAAAAAATTAAACCTTCACCTTTTTGAACATAAAAACCAATAAGTTAACCGCTGTGAATTGCATTGATTGATGCATGATATACATAACCAGTTCACCCTCATAACGTTAAAGCATAAATTTAATTTAATATTTAATAATTGTATGTGTGTGTGTGTGTGTGTGTGTGTGTGTGTGTGTGTGTGTGTGTGTGTGTGTGTGTGTGTGTGTGTGTGTGTGTGTGTGTGTGTGTGTGGTATAACGGAAATTAGGCAGTAGCCAGCTGGCAGACATAAACATTTAAACCCATGTATTAAATTATTGCACCATGCTGGATATAATAAGATAAATCAGTTCCAAGCACAACTGTACCATTGAGATCTCAGTATTAATGTACAAATCAGTAGTAATCATATCTATGACTTTATTTATCTATATATCTCTTGTTATAAACAATTTTAAGATTCACTGAATGGTCACTGATTAACAATGAATGCTGAATTTCAAGGAATTTACATCATGACATTTCTCGCCTTGTGTTAATTAATTCAATTCGAGCATTCGATTCCCGTTCATTGAACAGAACTTTATGCAAGCTTAAAATAATTGCTTATCATTAAGGCTTACGAATCAAAGAAAGCGTTATGGAGAAATGTTCACATTATGTTCAATGTGATTTATTTTTAAAATTTCAGTAAATCCTTTAACTATTTTTTTTATCAAGCCCAATCAGGTTATCGTGTGCTGTTGCACGAATGTTTTCCAAAAACCATCAGCATCAATAGTTTTTTATTTGTTCCTTAGTTAAGTGTAATTCTTTTTGTACATTGATTGTCAAAGTGAAATTTATTGCGCAACAGATAATCGGATATGCAAATAATGATTGTTAATCAAAAAGATTAAGAGTCGGATTCGACCAAAATTTGGTGGTATCAAAAGCATAATGAAGGGGGTAGAATGGGTGAAAAATACAAACATCTCCTCCATGTGCGCTATCACATTCCTGAGTTATTTACTCAACTTAATTGAGTTGTTATGATTACTAAATATGTAAACATCACTGTAAATATAACACTCAGGCTTTTGACATTTGACAGCTACGCATTTTCCATGCCGAAACATTTAATCATATTTTTTTATTGCAAATGTTACTTCCCACACACAAACTCGATTTGGGATTATATTTGGATGAAAGGAAATTGGTCCAAAGTCGTAGAATTCGTTTAGTAGGTCATAAGGAAAGCGTGTGAAATAAAATTTGATTTCTTTTTCATAACATTCGGTATCCTGATAGAGGTAGTTCACAAATGGTGTCATTAAAGAATATATAACGTATGCCTTGAATGTTCATAAATTTACTAAGTGAATATTTGTGGTACTAATTGCAATCATCAGAAATGTTTTAACAAAACTAAAGCCTAGTTTTGACGACTCACCTGTTAAGTGATCAGACAAGTCAACAAAAGTAATAAGCAGAAAGTCAATTATCACTTCACGTGATAAAAATGTTAATTTCTCAAAAAATCTAGTTTTTATCACTTCCAAATATACTGTAACAGAAATTTGTAATCGAAACTGTCTGTTATGAAAGTCGGAACTGCACAACACTTAATTTAAATTTTCAAAATTTTGAATTTATTTTTTTAAAAAAGCTTTTAACCGGCTTGCGTTCTTTTATTAATGTCTTGTTATCTATCAAACTTTGCGAAATGAAAATAATCGTCAACTGTCTTAAACAAGATCTAAACGTGAACTGAAGCTTTTTCTCTTCACATTGGATGTTATCGACAACGAAAAGGTTTTTCTCTTTAATATCAACAGCATTTTCTCTGCGCAATGTAGCGTGCTGTTAGTCTTCTGATGAATCTGACAATAGATGAACAATCTAATTATAATATAAATCTTGTTGCGTTTCTGGAATCTTGATTTTTATATGTCTGGTTATTTGGAAAAGATTGGTTGGTTGTTTTTGGTTTTGGGTGATATATAGCTGAATCCTTGGCTTTAAGTATTTTAAACCGTTTTTGTAACCAAAAAAAATTAATAATTTTATATAGTAACATGTAAAATAGGTTGGATTATAGCTATTTTCTAACCTTTTGTTTCGTTTCATTTTTGGAAAATTAAAAGAAATATGAGTTTACAGCATTTCGGTTATAATTAGATTGTGGCAAGTACAGCATGAAGATATTTTTATTAAAACTTTCTTGTTTATTTCCTTTTTAAATTTACATAGCAGTAAAGAAATTCATACAATTTATCATTATATTCTCTATGTTTTATACTGTTCAGTCAGTAAAAGAACTTCTCATAGTTAATGCAGTAATTCTAGCATTTCATAATTATGTAGGAATAAATAAAATAGTAATAATTCGGGAAACTACTATTTACATAATTCATTTTTTCAGGCTTACGAAACTTTAAAGTCCATGGACATTGGACATCATGATACACATATTACAATAAATGTTAAGAAATTATTCTAAAAACAATATATTCATAGTCAATGATTATGTTAAAAAAAAGACTCTTAATATTTTCATTAATAGCAAAAATAAGAAAATTTCATTAAACTACAAAAATATGACTAAAATTTATAATAAGAGAATGAAAATTCCTAGGCTTAACATCTGATTTGGTCTTATCTATCGCCTGGAACAATACCTATGCTGAACAAATTACAGAAGATTTTGTGGCTTAATGGAAACAACATATCAGAGTTTTCACCGTCCATTCACCGATAGAAATTAAGACTCACAATGTATTTGATTTATTTTTTGAATGACTGAATCTTCTTCTGTTTTTTATAAAATTAGAATAGTTACATAGATTTGATGAGAAAAATGCAATAATAAATAATTTGTTTTGTTGTATCTTTGTGTGTTAATTTTTGTTAAAACTACGTGGGCGCTCTTCGATCATATTCTCTTCGTCTTGAATCGTACTCTGCTGGTGGTGGTGGGTAGTAGTCATTTGGAGGTAAATGAGGATGTCTTTCACGATAGCCTGGTGGTACTTCTTCTGGTGAACCATAATATCCGTGTGATGGATAATGATAATTTATGGGATGATAATCGCCTCGACTGTATTAAGCATAATAAATATTAATAGTTTTAACGTAGATTCGAATTAATCCTTATGAAAATTTACCTTCTTTTGATGTCACGATCTCTATGGTCTCTTTCTCGGTGATATGGTCTGTTATATCCATCATATCTTTCTCTTTTATGTTCGGTTGGATATCTATAATTTTTTTTTGATTAATAACACAAAGAAAGAAGAAATAAAAATCAAAATTGAAAAGTGCCCATTTTATCTTTACACATACCTTTCACGATGATTGCCGTAAGCTTCATATCGTCCTTCCGGATAGACTCGTTGCTGTGTAGGATTGGGTGGTAATCCTCTAGAAGTAGAACTCACACCTCCTGCTGCTGTTCTACGATGATAATCATCCCACTTCTTATCTCGATTTCTATTGAAAAATCAATCACACATTCATACTATTAGACATTGTAATGAAGTTCATTCAAACGAATTTTAACGAGTCACAAAACTACAGAATACTCTTGGTTTGGATTTAGAGCACATAAATACCGTATCTCATTCGTATTCTGTTGTTTTGAGCACAATTCGAAACTGAGAAACTTTATTGTTTGAAAACTGTGAATATTTATTTACCTAGCATCGTTTGCTATCCTCTTGTGTTCCTTACTTTCATCAATTTCACCCTCTTCTCGCTCTAAGCGTCTCTTTCCGTGTGAGTCATTTATGTCGTCATTACTATTATTGCTTACATCGTGACCTAAATATTTATCGTGGATTTTATCACGTTCGTCTTTCAATTGATGGTGATGATGATGGTCTTTCTTATTTTTCTTTTCTTTCTTATGATTTTTAGATTCGCGCATATCGTTACTATGATGATGATGATGATGATGACTGTTTTTCTTCTCCGATTTGTCATGATGATTCTTGATTGGTGAATCTTCAGTTGTTCCATTAATTTTAGCTCTTTCCGTTTTGTACATTTTGAAAAGTTTTGATGCGCTATCTTCGGTAAATTTAGAGACAAAATACCACAAGCTACTTCTCCATTCTTTTATTTTAACTGGATCTTTGTATTCTTCAAGACATTCATCAATTCTACTTCCAATTTTTACTAGACATTCACGCCAATGGCTTGGACGCTCTTCGTGACTCGTTCCATGCTGATGATGATGAGAACTATCGAGAGCTTTAAGAGCTTTCTTTACAGGTCTCATTTTCTCTTTACACTCATTAAATATATTTGGATCAAGATCCCCTAAAATATCCAAAGCTCTAGGCTCATTGTTGGCTGTAAAATGCATTGGTTTATTAGCATCTTGCTTCTTTGTCTTCTTTTTGCTTTCTTTATGATCCTTTTTCTTTTTCTTTTCAATTCCATTCGTTTCTTCTTGAGACATTGAATGCTTTGTATTCTCTTCGTCAGTTTTTCTCGAATGCTCGTCATTATGATGATGGTGGTGATGTTCATGTTTTTTCGTTTCTTTGACTTTTCGCTGTTTACGTTGTTTTAAACTTCCACGTCTTAACTCAACATTCTTCTTGATAATTTTTAATAAATATTCAGCTCGTGATTGTAAATGCTTCCCTTGAGGTTTCTTATCATCATTCAATAATATTTTGTTCGCTAAGTGTAAAGAAGGATCCATTTTCATTGCCTCCCAACTACCAATTCCATATTGATAAATTCCACACAATAGTTTTGAATCATCATCACCATTCCAATCAACATCAAAATTAGCTGGTCTTGTTTTAATATCGAGTGTCCAATTTAATCGCTCGTCTGCTGTATTAGGTAAAATCTCATCAAGTGGTGCTAATTCTTCTTCACATTGCAGCAGAGTTTTTGCATTAAATGAAACGCCACCGAATTTTACACTAAATCCAGCTCGAGCGCCTCTTTTCTTTTCATTTGTCGACGAAGAAGGTTCTTGATCTTTAAGTTCATCAAGGAATGTGATACATCGCTCGTGCAGCATTTCAGCTACTTTCTTTAATTCGTTTAATGGCTTTTCTTGTAGCTCTGCATCGCATGCTATGGCTTCTAATCTCTTTAAAGGTGCTGGAAATTTTTTATAACTTTTAATGAAACGTCTTAGTTCATTATCTGTAAAATTTGAGAATTTTTCTTTAAGCGGTGGACGACCTCGTTTTTTAGGACGCCCATCTTCACTATTATCACTCATTCCATCATCTGATTGTTCTATTTCATCAGATTTCTTTCGCTTTTTAGCTTTTTTAGATTTCTCTTGCTCTTCTTGTAATACTTGTTTACGCTGTCTTGGCGGTAAATAGAGATCTTCAAGCTCCTTGTTTCGTTCTTCTTGTTCAATTTTTCTACGGAAGTTTTCAGGTATAATTTCGTCCCAGTCTTTTGTTTCCTCTCCCTCTTCATGCTCAACGACTTTCCTTTTTGGACTAGATATAGCAACTTTGTCTTCATCAAATGCAAAACTTGCAACCTTAAATGAACTAAGCAGCTCATCACCGACCATACTTGGAGGTTCATCGCGCGTTTCAGCACGTCTTAAAATCTCATCAATATCGCACTTTAATTCCTCGTCACCCTCTTCCTCGTCTTTAAATAACTCCTCAGCACCAAACTTTAGAATTGCTGAAAGTTCTTCCTTTGAAAACGGATTGGCGCCATTTACATTTGTGCCATTCTTATCCAAAACAGTTCTACCTGTCGTATCCATTCTCTGTATAACTAAATGATCAAGCACCATTTTCTGTTTAGCTCTCTCAACAATCTCTTCTTCAACACTACGTGCTGTTACTAAACGATAAATATTGACTTGATTCTTCTGTCCAATTCTATGTGCTCTCGCTTGTGCTTGTAAATCATTTTGAGGATTCCAATCGCTATCAAAAATTATTACTGTATCTGCTGTTGCTAAATTAATACCTAAACCACCTGCTCGAGTACTTAGAAGAAAACAAAAATCTTGTGATCCTTCAGCATTATAATGATCTAAGGCTTGCTTTCTAATCTCTCCCTTAATTGAACCGTCTAAACGTTGAAATGAAAAGTGTCTTTTTTGAAGATATTCTGCTAAAATGTCCAACATTCGAACCATTTGTGAAAAGATTAAAACTCGATGGCCTGTTTCTTTGAGTCGAACAAGTAATTTATCTAAAAGTACGAGTTTTCCACTTCCTTTCAACATTTCCTTGAGCGTTTCTTCCTGAGACATTGGCGGCAGTTCATCATCAATCGGCTTAATGAGCATCGCATGATTGCAGCATTTCTTCAATTCTATTACTATATTCAAAAACGATGAAGATGAACCTTTACGACCTTTTAGTAATGCTTCAAAATTTTTGGTTAATATCCATTTGTAGTATTGCTTTTGTATAGTTGTCATTTCTACTCGAAGAATTTGCTCCACTTTTGCAGGAAGACTTTTTTCAACGTCTTTTTTCACACGTCTCAAAATATAAGGCTCAAGCTCTTTGTGCAACTTTGTATAGCCTTTTTCCATAGCATTACCATGAACTCTCTCAAAATCCTCCCAGGAAATAAATTTGTTTGGCATAATAAAGTGTAAAAGTGCCCACAATTCTGTAATAAAAGTTTAATTATTAAAAATATTTTAAAAAAATTACAATAGTCTCTTTTTATTGATCGAGGCTCTTCATTGCATTTTTGACGCAGCGATCAGTATTTGATTAGTAAGTAAATACAGACGAATCAGCAAAATATAGCATTCATCTCTCTTAAAGAGATTAAACCTTATTAGATGTCATATTTACATAATTTCATTTCACAAGTGAATTTCGAGAAAAATCAATTTTTTTGGAAAATTTCAACCAATGACTAAAACAGACAAAATGCCAGTTATTTTATTAAGGAATTATTTTCAAATTTTCGTTTTCGTGAAAAAATGGGCTAAAAAATATTTGTTTACAGTCATTGGAATTTTTGCATTATAAACGACTTAGATTAACGGTTTTTTGAAATTAAAATTGTAGCCGTTTCAAAAATATGTCATTTTAGAAGTTCACTGTATTGAAAAACATTGGCTTGTGTTTGGTTAAGGAGATCTCTGCTTGCCATGACCAAGCAGACAAAGTGCATATTAAGCTACCTTTTTGAAAACAAGTTTTCAAAAAGCATTAAAACTAAATAAAAGCATTGTGAAGAAAAGTTTTACCTTTTAAGCTATTTTGTAGTGGTGTTCCAGTAATGAGTAAGCGATGATTTGTGTTGAATTCTTTGAGAGATTTATACAGCAAGGAATCATCGTTTTTGAGTCGATGAGCTTCATCAACCAGTAATGCTGCCCAATTAATTGATCCCAAAAGTATTTTGTCTTTGAGTAAAATTTCATATGTCGTCAAAATTGTATTGAATTTAAGCTTATTTGTGTTAGGAAAACACCAGTCATACTGTCGAATGATTTCTCGACTTTGTACATCACCGATATAAGTAACAACATTCATCTCTGGTGCCCAGATTTGAAATTCACGCTGCCAGGCAGTCATTGTTGATAACGGAACAAGAACCATAAATGGACCATACAATTGATGAGTTTTATATAGATAATATAAGAAGCAAATTGTTTGAATTGTTTTTCCTAATCCCATCTCATCTGCCAATATTACAGAATTTTCTTTACACCAACTCAAATTGAGCCAATTTAAGCCTTGCATTTGATAATCTCTTAAAACTAGTCCTCTATCGATGCCCATATATTCTGGCTGTTCCTCTACCTTAATAAATTTCGGTCTACGACGTAGCAAGGAGCAATGTGTTGAAGGTGTAGCTTTAGATGATTCACGAATTAGAAATTCATCAATTTTAGTCTGCCATTTTCGTTGTACAAGCTTTGAATCTTCCCATGTAGCATCAGCATAGGGTAAAGATTCCCATTTACATAAATAATCTATTGATCCGTCTGGCTTTTCTTGTTGTCCAACAATTCGTTCTATAAAACTGTAACTTTTTAAGAGTTCTTGATGCAGCTCAAGCTGACATTCGTAATAATCAATATCTTCTGGATTAGCTGATCTCTTTTTCCACAGTTCAATTTCATTATCTCGCTTAATAAAATTCTCAAGTTTTTTGAGACCTTTCACCTTTTGTTTTTGCAGAGATTCTTCAGATTCCCAAGTATTGTGTATGTAAGACCATCCTTTCCACTTAATGAGATATTGTTCCTCCGTTGACGACTTGTCAGTTATATCTACGCCCACATTTGGATCACCTTTTTCTTCAACTGCATACATTGTAGTTTCATTTCCTGTAATACCTTTCTTCCCTATTCGTTTACCAACAATTCTTTCAATTGTTTCTGTATTATCATCTGGTTCAACTTGTAAACTTTCTTCATTGACATCTAGTATATCCTCAGAATCTGTTTGTTCATCTTCACTAGCCTCCTTATAACTTACAGTCTTACCACGACGTGAAGAAATTGTTCTGTTCTTAAAATTTCTTGATCCATCTTGAAAACTCTCGTCTGTATCTGAATGTTTTTTCGGTTTAGGCTTTGGTGCTGATCGTTTAGGCGCTGGTTTTCGTACTGGACGAGCGAATGAATCTTCTGAATCATCGTCGCTTTCCTCTTCTTCTTCCTCTGATGTATCCTTCCATGTACTTTTGGATCTGAAATAATTAAAATTTAAACAAAATAAAAAATAAAAAAGTTTAAATTATAGCTTACAGCTTTTTGGTAGTCTTCTTTTGAGCTGCTAATCTCTTTCGTGCAGCTTCTTTCCTTGCCCTCTGCTTAGCTGCTGCAATGTCTTCTTCCTATAAATGGTTGAAACACATTTGAGTTTGTAAAATAAAAAAAATTAATAATGGTTATTAACTCACATCAATGCTACTTTTGGACGAACTATATTGCTGGTTGTCTGACTGATTACTAAGAACATCTGATTCTTCTCCTCTATGCTCACTTTCCTCGGAGTTGTCATTGTGATATTGACTGGCGCTTTTATTGCTAATTATTGCTCCGGTTCTAGTGTCTTCATCTGTTCCCTCGGGCGATGTATTATTTACTTCACTTTTAGACGTTTCATGTTCATTGATTGACTTTGACAATGATTTTTCGTGAGATGTATTAAGCGTCGACGTTTCATTATCACTTGAACTAGAATCACTATTCGAATCACTGAAAGATCATATAGATAATATCCTCACATTAGTTTCTCAAAACACTGAAATCACTATTAAACAAGCACAGTCTAGAGCTACTGATATATCCTGTTCTTTCTTACCTATCTGATTCAGATGAGGAATTAGATTTACTGCTGATTGATTCATTGTCTGAATCACTTTTATCGTCCTTTTTCTACAAATATAAAGAAATTTATTAGTGCCGCATAGAAAACAAAAGCCGGTTGAAGATTTCTGAATTAAATTCTGACTGACAATCCTTAAGTTTGTGGCTAGTTTGTGACATTGCTAATCACATCTATGGTCAATTGTAAAAAAATTTAAAGGGATAGGTAATAAGAAGAATAAATCACTTCTGATTCTGCTTGGGATTCTAATGAACTGGATAAATTTAGTTTTTCTGGTTTTTCTTTAAAATTTAAGCACTTTGCAGGACTGAAAATTTTCACTAGAAGGTTATCTGGATTACGTAACAATTTTTCAAAGAACTTCCTAAACTCATCTAAAACTTACAGGATCCAGCATATCACTTTTAGAATCATAAAATTCGATTAAAAAGTTTGAAAACCCCACAAAAATCAAAGAAATTATGAATGAAAGCCTCACTGGATCTTTATGAGGAGCACTTGGAATCACTAATATCTACCTAAATAGGACAGGAAATGCCAGGAAATTGATCTGGAACTATATATATGGTGTCAATAAGTAGTAAACAAATAATTTGGCTTGATTTTGGAAGGTTTGTAAGAAGCATGAAGTCAACTTTTCCTCGTGTCTGGATGTGGTCAAAACTGACAAAACACAAGAAACCATAGTTCCTATTGTACACTTGACGCTAGACGAGCTATAAGGAGTCCACAAAGATGTAAACAAACCTTTTAAAGATTCATTTTAAAGAGAAATTGGATGTTTGAAAACCTATAAAAACCACGCCCTTTAAGCCTGAACTAGACAAAAATCAATGTCTACGAATGATTGGCACGTCTAGAAGGGTAAATTAATCCAGAAATATCATTGTTTAATGTAATTAATGCACTATTTACCTTGCTCATTGTCTCAGCAAAGCTTTGTAGTAATGATATATCTCTATTCCGTTAATTCTCATTCAAATTCGCGTCAAATCAATCACTTGAGCTTTCAATCACAACAATATATAATTAATTTAAAGGAATAACGAGCGTTTTTACTATATTTAATTTTTATAAATTTCTCGATTCAATTTTTTTTCCGTAATGTTGAAAAGCTTCAATGCTAAAATTAGCATTAGAAAATTTCTCTCGATGTACTGCCAATTTTAAATGAGTTTTCTTATGCTAAATTTGTCTTTTTTACATCTTTTCACTTTTTTCTAATGTATATACGCTTTGTGTATTGTTTTAAACAATCTTACATATGTTTTTATGCTGTTTTATGATATTTTTTCTATAAATAATTCTTTTTAACTTATCTGGTAAACTTTTTTCGGAATTAATGCTAAATTTAGCAATCAAATTTTCAAAAATTTCTAAAACGGTTTTCGAAAACTTTGAAAAACAAAAATTACACTCGACCCCCTACAGAATGTAGTTGCTGGGCAATTCCGCAAATTTATTTTTCCAAAATTTTCATGTTTGAATCGATATTTATCTTAATTAAGCTATCTAGTCATTTCAAGGACCAAATATACTTATGCTAAGTGTGTGGTACTGATGAAATGATCAAAAATGTAATTCTTCAGTTCCACATCATTGACTTTTTGTGAGCGCTACACTTTTACAGAATATTGAATTCTGAACTTTTATCCGAAAATTTTCCAATTTCTGCTTTTTGACTACTGATTGACAGTTCATTTTTTCATGTTTTATAATTCTGCATACCTAATTTACTTGGGCCTCGACATTTTTTTGAGGATTTTTGCTCAACGGAAAAGAATAATTTGAATTTTTCACTAACACTATCATACAAAACATCAAAAATTAAATTCTCAAAATTCTTAATTCTTAATCATTAATCCCAAATATTATGATTTGAATACGAATAGTAGATGATACATTATCTGTTCTGACTATTTTAAGAGCTTTTACATCATTATTGAGTGATATTTTCATGAATTTTCAAATTTCATTTTCGATTTTGTTTGTAAACAAACAAATCACAACCGAAAAAATTCAAAAAAGTTAAAACCATTAAAAAAAATTTAACTTAATTTTGTCCATTTAGATATGTTAATGCAGCAATTTTAAATTTTTTATATACTCTAAAAGAACAGAATTGAATTTCGGACCTAGAAAAATACATTTGGAGATATATCAATAAACAATAATGAAGATATAGCAAAATTCCCGAATATTGTACGTGAGTGACGCTTAGTTAAAGTGATTTTTTAAAGAAACTATAAAGTTTCAAGAAGTGAATTGTACAGCAATAGATGGGGATTTTAATTCTCTTTTTAAAAAAGTAACTCTTAAATTTGTCACTTTTAAGGATAAGGAGATAATCAAGAATAACAAGGCGTCACTCACGTACATTTTTTTTGTGACGAGGCCCACTTTAAAGAGGTCTTGTTTACCAGAAATTTATGTACAAATGCAACGCAAAAGCGTTAATTTTCCTAATCCCTGAGAAAATATTTTTAAAGGAGACGAAATTTACTTCAATTAATAACATCCTTTTTAGGATGCTGTTCATGAGAATATACAACTAATCTTTATAAAGAACATGGATCAAAAAAGCTCTTTTTCACAAAATCTCACAGAATGTGGAATTGTCCTTCTTCTAAAAGTGCTGATTTTTTTGTCGGGGGTCGAGTGTATATTCAAATTTCTTTTAACCGTTTTTTTAAAAAAAAAACCAATACTATCACAGAAACTTTACACTCATACATTTACAAGAAAAATAACGAATAAACAGAAACAAAATTAAAGCCGATTATTTAATTAGAAATACTGTAATTAACATGTCAAGCACATCGCAGAAGCATCGCAACTTTGTTGCTGAACCTATGGGAGATAAGCCATGCACAGGTAATTTGAAAAGATACAGTGATTTCATTAAAGTACGAAATTTAAGCGCATTTCCATATTTTCCATAGAACTGGCTGGGATTGGTGAAATATTAGGAAAAAGATTAGAAACAGCTGGATTTGATAAGGTAAAATAATTAAGATCAACTCATTCAATTCAATAATTAATGGTTTAAATTCATTAGGCATATACTGTGTTAGGCCAATATTTGATCCTCAAAAAAGATGCAGAACTATTCAAGGAATGGATGAAGGATACTATAAATGCAAATTCCAAACAAGCAGCAGATTGCTATCAATGTCTAAACGATTGGTGTGAAGAGTTCTTGTAAACCCCACTTTATTATATCCAAACTTAAAAATCTGCATATATTTTTCTATAATTTTATTTTCTAACATATTAAACTCCTCAATAATTATATTAACTCAAAATAAACTTTCTCTAATTTCAAAATGAATGTTAAATCTTCTTTACAATAAAGCATATTTTGATGACAATTAAATTAAGTGCTTTTATTTCATTAAAGTGTGTTTGGAGTTGCATTTTCAAAATGTTAAAAATAACGGTTTTCTTTGAATGTTGACAAATTTAAAAAAATACAAGTCAACATTTTTAAATTCCACAAAAACATGTTAATTTAAACAAATTGTGGCTCAACATCATATTTAACCAGCTTGATTCTTTTACATACATGGAAATTTTTTAAGCATCTAAATCAAGATTAAGGATAAAATAGAGCTTAAACTTCAATTGAATTAACAAGTCTTAAAAAAGTAAGTTCAACGATTATTTAAAATACAAGTTTGCTAACGGTTTTGTTTAATTTAAAAATATACTCCGACCGATCATTGTCTTCTAAAATGGCGGAAAGGAACTGAAGAATTGAAGATTTAAATATTATTAAAAAGCATTCAAATGTGTAAAAAGTGGGCTTAAATAATCAATAAACTATAACTAAGCGCATTATCTAAAGGAATAAGAGAAAATTCGAGTGTTTTCAACATATTTAAAGTGTATAATTAGCAATTGAAAATTTTGCAAAAAAAAGTGAATAAAGAAGATCCAGTGATTTGTGTTAAAAAGAAGGTATTTGTAGCATAGCAAAGACCGTAAAGCAACTGGATACTATTTTATTTTAGCAAGAAAGGAATATATAGTCAGATTGCATTAAAAAAAAGTAATAGTATTTTTTCAAGAATATGAAGCTATGAGGGAATGAGAATAATCAATAGACAAGACATAGACACAGAAATGATGGATGAAAATTCACTAAATGGTGCTCAAAATCAAATTGGTGTCGGTCAAAATCGCGTAAATAATATAGCGACTGGTGACAAAGTAAATGATGATCCAAGCAATGGAAATGCTCAAAATGTTCAGCCTCAATATACGATTCCAGGAATTTTGCATTTTATTGAGCACGAATGGCAACGGTTTCAGGCTGAACGTTCACAATGGGATACAGATAGAGCCGAGTTACAGGTAAGCTTAGCTAATTTTTCTTTTTAAATTTTTCACGGCCATATCTTATGAAAACTCCATTGACAGAGGTATTAAAAGCTAAAGTTTCATTAAAATCGTACGTCCTTATCAAAATTGCAGCTCTCTAGTTGCGTTAATATAAAAACTTTATTACATTAGCTTCGTTAAATGAAAACTTGCAAGCATAAGACTGTAAGATATAAATATTGGAAACGTTAATCGCAAAGAAAATTTCCTCGCCCAATTTTTCCTGCTCTTATTTATAATGCCTTTTAAAAATTAAATTGATTCAGTTCTATTATAAGTTTTGCTCATACTTTAATATATTTGAAGGTGAATTTAGTAATGTTTGATTATGGCTAGGTACTTGCCTGTTTTTTCGTGAAATTAAATTTACATAAAAAATATGAAGGAAGAAGATTCGTCAACGTGGATGTTTCAATTCTCTTTTTTGCTGATTTCTCTCCATATACATTTCGCTTTTCCTCATGTCACCATCTCCATATCGGATGAAAAAAAAATAATAAGAAGATGAAAAGAAGAAAATATGTATATATGTATACATAGGAATAAGAAGAAAATCTGAATGAAATAAAAATGAGTTTGCCTACAATCACTTTTATTAAGTGACATTAAATTTTACACATCATCTTCAATACTGTCGTCATGAGCATTTTACACAGATGTTTATTCAATATGGATATTTTTTTTGCTCTTCTTACGTTAATTAAGGTAAATTCATTGTTTCTACTATTTTGGCTGTTTTTTGATCTCTTATAATAATTTTAAATTAATGATTGACATGAAACAAAGGAGCAATTAAAAAGCTTAATGTTTACACATTTTTTAATTGGTGACAAGCCCGTGCTATAGTTTTTGCGCATTTCAAATAAACTTAATTGTTATTGATATTAATAAAAATAAAAAATCCCATTGATCATATACAACATAGATACATACAACATATATAAAATTTCAATATCTATGCACAAGTTGGTTACTTGTAATATTTCTGCTCTGCATCAACTTCTATTCATGTATTACTCATTTTTTTTTTTTGAATGGAAAAGTTTTCCTCTCTCGCTCGCTCTTTATTTTAGCTTTCTCTCCAAAAAAAAAAAAAAAATAATATACTACCTTCCTATCATCGGAAAAATTCAGTCTTCACCATGACCTTTTCTTTTCGTTCATATTCGCTTTTTCATTCTCTAAGAAAGTAATTCCTTATACTATTGCCCTGTAAATCGACATTTTTCTCTTGTTAAGTAGAATTATGCTAAAGTCAATATTTATTGAATAAAACAAAAATTTTATAAAATTCAACACTTAAACACTGATTTCGTAAAATAGAAGCGAATTAATTTTATGAAATGATATAAAACTAGGGAAAATTAAGACTTCTTCTAAAAATCGTTTTATAAAATCTTCTTGATGATTTTCTTTTTATTTCAAGACCTATCACAATATTTGACGTCAAATCAATCGATTTTTCAACTACAACCTACCTTAATTAACTGTTCTAATACGATGCAAGCTCCAGTTTCCTTAAAGTACATGACTGACTCAAGTATGAAATTTGATAAAAACGAAATAGGTTTACTAGCAAACACTTTTGTCAGAGAAAAAGCTTACTGAGTGAACATTAAAATCGTTTATAAAGTTGGAAAACTGAAAACTTTGTCTCCAAATTCATGAAAATTGGATACTTTTTGTGAATTATCAAAAACAAAATTCACAGCCGGTGTTTTGAAATGCTACTTTTTCGTCAACGGCGTCAACGACCTGTCATTATTAGTGTTTTTCCTTCCTTATTTATACGATGTTATTAGCTACGTATTTTTATTTTTAGAACTATGTGCGAAAAATATATAACCTATCGTGAAATTCGTTAATTTTTTTTCTTCCGTATTCCTACTTTAACTTTGCTTTAACTGTTCATCAATCGCTCATATTTTTGTTGAGTCTGTCTATAATATAATAATGTGTGAAGGGCTCAGCCTTTCAGCTGAAGGCACTGCGATTCAAATTAGAACAGAATCTATTGTACTACACCCTTTAGACCTACAGTTTATAGTGGGATCCGAACCACTTGAGTCTGTCTAAAAATGAAAACAATAAAAATAATTTGGTGTGTGGCTTTGTCGATGAAAATAGAATGAAAACGAAGAGTAAAAAAATCAAACAAAACGAAAAAGAATTTCATTGGAAAAATCGATTTTCCTGACTTTGTTTTCTGTCGTAATGGAAAATAGCATTAAAAGCTATACACGTTTTTTGGAATTTAAGAGTTTTTAATAGTTTTTAATTTTATAAAACGTGGGTTTGAGAAACTTTAGTGGCATATCATTTAATATAGTTTTATTCCTTTGAAACATTTTCAAGATGGGAAGAACTTTTCCTCTCATTAAGTTGACATTTGAAAAGCTATTGCTAGATGTTAACATTAAAATAAACATTTCGCATCCTTACCTTTAGAGTTCAACTAAGTTTGAATATTTAAGTTAAAAATCCAAACATTCTAAAACAGACTTACGTTTATTCCCAAACGTAGCACGTGAATGAAAAGGTATAAAGGTAAAATGTTAATTTTGCAAAAATAAAACAATATAAATTTAAAAATTAGGAATTTTCATTCATAGTGAAAATGAGCTTCACACCTTCGAGTGACTGCTTTTTTCTGAAAATATATTTTCGACTGTTCTTCATTTCAAAATGAAATTTCCCGTGTTATTAGTATTATTAATACTAAACTGTTAACGAGATGAATGAGTGTACTCATATAAAAATATGTGGTAAATAAAAGCTTTTTTTTTCATGACTGAATAACAACAAATTGCTTGTCGTACCCATCAAAGTGCTTTCACTTCCATATTCTTTTACTAGACCCAACCAACCATACACAGATGAACAATAAATGTAGAATCTTGAAAAGAAAATACCTTTTATTTCATAGATGCATGAACAATATGAACAAAGTTGGTAATCACATTTTATGATGTCATGCAATGTTTAAAGAAAATCGTGTGTTTACGAAATCATCAAAATTGTATCCACTTATAATTATCTATTTGCAAGTAAAATTGATATGTTTCATAGTTGCAAGGTCTTAAAATTATAAATAAAGTTCTTATTAGCGATCCCGATCATAAATGGCTTCACAAGGAGCCACATTTAATATTTTATAAGAGTTATTCACATTTCCATTTCTATAATAAGACATAATGATCCAACAAAAAACTTAATATAAACATTTGGCTACTTCTTTATACAAGGCAACAAAACACTTTGTTTCGTTAAAATTCATCGATAAATTAACACATATTGAATAAACACACCTAATTGAAAGCTTGTAAACATCTGCTAAGGTCAGGAACAGTTAGTATGAATTTATTGTTTTAGCAGATAAAGGGCTGGGACTTGATGGTTTGATAATTTCAAGCAGTCAATAATCGGGTCAAGAAGATAATCATTTTAATAAAATTATTTTTCTTTTGGTATAGAGGTGTAAGACCACTATTTTTATTTATCTACGATATACTTTTATACTTTCTTTAAATTTCATCGGATATCACTGTAAATTAAATAGGAATTCGTTTATCATTAGATCATAAACTTCTTGCTTTAAATATTTATCAACTTCATCATTTGCAGTTGTGCAACAGACATCATTTTTAAGCGACTGCCACTTAATTGCCGAAAATTTCGCTTATTGATAAGGACTCTTTCACTTATTACGTTACGCTAAAAAATTACTTTAAAATTGCCACTTGTTATGAAATTTTTGTATTAAAATTGTTGAAATGTTACAAATTTTTCTTTTCAATAATCTTCAAAGCTAAGAAGCTCTCATTTGTTTAAAACTTTATTTGAAAATAAATGATAAGTAAAAAGAAAAAGATGATTTACAAAGTATGCGAGAAAGCAATGAAAAATAAAAGAGTAGTAGCTTAATTAAGCCATATGCTTATGTGAGTTCATGTATTTTTTATTTGATGAGTTTTTAAGTGAAATTTTTTTTTCTTTACTCAAAACCAATGATAATGAAGAAGATTTTTCTTGCTTTATGATTTATCTCGGAATGATTTGAAAGTTTCTTTTGTTTTTTTTTTTTTTTATCTCGCTTGTAATTTTGGCACTATTAACAGTTTTCGCTTGGCAGTCAATACGAAATATTCAGTTTGCGATAATATTTATACTTGAAATTTTATTCGTCATATTTTTTTTTTGTTGTGGATTTATGTAAATGAAGGAAGGTGTGTTTTAGAGTAATATCTGGTAATATCAACAAAAATAAAAAAAACTCGGATATGAAATAACGAACATAAAGAAATTTTTTGAACCCCTCTCTCAGTGTCGCATTTTTATGACACATCATTTAAGTTACTCTTAATTAACGTACATCCAACGTACTACACTCACGGAATCGTGATTAGCTATATTTTATCCTGTAGGCTTAGCCGAAATAATAATTCCATCAATCTTGAACAGTTTTTTTAAATCATTAAACGTTGAGAAAAAAAGATGATACATCCATAGTGACACTTTTAAATATTTGTCCAACATAATGTAACTATCAAAATGACTCGTTATTGGCACTTAACATTTGAATGACAAAATCCTCATTCATTTTTGTTTCTTAATTAAATTACTTTTAATTAATATGTAACTTTCACTCTTTATAATTTTAGTCAAAAATTGCTGTGTTGTTAGGCGAACGAAAAGGTCTTCAAACAACCCATTCGGACTTGATACGTCGAATTAAAATGCTTGAATATGCTTTACGACAAGAACGCATTAAGTTTCATCGCTTAAAATTTGGATGTGATCCACCGACAATTGACTTAACACAATCACCTGATGAACAGGCATTAGCGAATGAAATTGCCACAGGTAATTATGCTTGAAACTGACACAATTGAATTGTTCTTACGCTATTATTGTTTGTAATTTAGATGCAGATTTTCCATACAGTCCTGTAACAAATCAAATGTGGGAGCGTGGACGTGCACGCCTACAAAATTATTTGAAAGAAATTGGATGGACAGAGACAATAATTGATGTGCGTTCAAAGTGTACCAGAAATTTATTGAAATTAGGCAATGCGGAACAAGAGGAAAATATAAATCCAAATGTAAACGGTACTGAAACTAATAATAAGCGCGCAAGTGAATCCCAAGGTATGTGTTCACAAGAAAGCAGCGAGTATGATAATGAAAGCAATTTTTATATCATAGGACGCGATCAACCAGCAAAAAAGAGTCAGCAAGCTATGGCTGATGCTCTCTTATTGGACACAGAAGCAGCTGTAATGTCTAGCTTTGCCTTTCTTGAGCCCGCCGATGTTGAAATGGACGAAGAAGATTATATGGGAGATGATATGGATCTTGTAACTGGCAGTGATATAAAGCAGTTAAAAATGAAAACCAAAGGTGTAATTGTAAATGATGGTAAGGTTTTGTTGATTCATTCAACCCTTTTTTTTCGTAAGTGCTATGTGCTAATGTTGTGTTAATTAATATTTTAGATGATGCAGACGCTGAGGCAGAAGAAGTGCTGAATGATTTGAATCGTTTAGCTGAAGGCGAGGATGCCAATATGAATATGGTTGTCAATAATCAGCGTATCAATGATGGATCAATGAAAAGACGTGTAATGACTGGTATGGGACCAGGCGTAAATGATGAGGAAGTTGATAGTAGCCTCGGTCTTGGTGAATTGGCAGAATTGACCGTGACCAATGAATCAGAGTCGACTTACGATGTCAATAATTCTAAAGAGTCATATCGTAAAACATGGAATGCAAAATATACATTGCGTAGTCATTTTGATTGTGTAAGAGCACTAGCATTTCATCCGAAAGAGTCTGTCTTGATAACAGGCTCTGAGGATCATACTTTAAAATTGTGGAATCTCCAGAAAACCGTTCCGGCAAAGAAATCAGCATCTCTTGATGTTGAACCACTTTATACATTTAGAGCTCACAATGGACCAGTTTTATGTCTTGCAATGTCCACAAATGGTGATCAATGCTATTCTGGAGGACTTGATGGTGTCATAAATTGTTGGAATTTACCTAACTCTAATATAGATCCATATGACAGTTACGATCCAGACGTGCTGAAATGCAGTCTAGAAGGTCATACGGATGCAGTGTGGCGACTCGCGGTAAATCATACGAAAGGAAATCTTGTGTCTGCTTCGTCAGACGGTACTGTCAAACTCTGGTCACCACAATCAAAGCTCCCATTATTAAATACATACAGTAATGAAACGGAAGGAATTCCAACTTCTGTCGACTTTGTTCGTGATGAAACAGAAAAAATAGTTGTGAGTTATAAGAGTGCAGTCTCAATAATCCATGATGTAGAGACGGGAAAGCCATTGCTAAAGTTAACACCAAATGGTATGTCTGGACCCACAGATCCATCAAAGTATATTAATCGAATTATATCACATCCAACAATGCCGATAATCATAACAGCACATGAAGATAGATGGATTCGATTTTACGATGTAAACGATGGCACATTACTTCACGCAATGGTCGCACATTTAGATGCTGTAACAAGTTTAGCAATTGATGTTCACGGTCTTTATTTATTAAGTGGCTCACACGATTGTTCAATACGATTATGGAATATTGCAAATAAAAAGACTTGCGTGCAAGAGATAACAGCTCATCGGAAGAAATTTGAAGAAAGCATTCTCGACGTGGCATTCCATCCTACAAAGCCATTTATCGCCAGTGCTGGCGCTGATGCAATTGCAAAAGTGTTCGTTTAATCATAAAAATGAGATGATGAGAAAAATATTATGAAAAAAAAGTATGATAAACAAGAAAAAAAATAATAGTAATAATGATACTACTGATAATTAATAATCCAAAAAAAAAACACACATAACTAAACCTACTGATTATCGGTAATATACAGCGATTTAAAATATAAAGTAAATAAACATTATTATTATTATTAATTATTATAAAGCACGCCATCTTGTTAATAACTAGATGTGTTACTGAGTGTGGTAAAGTGAAACATTTTAAAAGAAAATCAGTGAACTATCGCCATTAAATTGTTTTCAATTATTATATTAAATATTTATATACTTTTTTAATTCATATCATATTCACACCTTAATAAACGGTCAAAAATTTATGAGCTCGATAGTTTCGATAGCTTTTACAGAAATGGCAAACAAAATCTGATCGTGAGGGTGCGAATATGTTTGGAAAAGCATTTTGCTTTCCTTATCAGTTTATTTATTAATAAATGCAAGATAATATAAAAAGATGCGAGAAAACGATAATTAAACTATTATGATTATTGAAATAAATTAATTGAAAATAAAAGAAAAAAAAACATGAATAGCAATAATATTAACATGAAGAGAAACACTTAACTACCGCCAATTTTTCATATATTAAAACAAAACACTGATCACAAAAAAAAACATGTGAAAAGAGATTAAAACTAGTGCATCGAGTAAAAATCCAATGCGGATATATTCACACCGTACAATCGAAAGTTTTGTCAATAGACCAAGCTTTGCACAGCATATGATTGAAGGTTAAAGCTTGACAGGTTAGCTGAGCTTCGCTTAGCATATGTTTGAACATTTAAATCTAAATGGATGTGCCAAATATTCTTTAATTTTTTTCATTCAAAGTTTAATTTTATAAAAATCATACTAAATGTTGGTTTTCAAAAATCTTTGTCTGAAGTAACGGCTTTTTCTACCTTGCGCAAAAACAGTACAGAGCTTCTATCAGGCAGCACTGATCTAGAGCAAAAAAACTAGAAGTCTCTACGATGTCTCGTTATTAAGATTTCTTGCTTGTTTGCATGCTTTCAGAAAGAGTATTTTGCGATTATTTCAGCAATGCTCTATCAAAATTTGAAGTCTGTTTGTTGCAGAAAATGTAAAATTCCAGGCACAAACTTTTCTACTGAAAACATTTTTAACCATTTTACTTCGTTTCCTTACAAAATGCGAAAAACTAATTTTTAAATCTGAGCAAAACCAATTCACAAGTAAATACGGTGTGAATTTAACAATTTATTTCGTATGAAAAAAAGTAATATATCTTATTAAATATATATTACAATGATGAGATGAACATAGCTGAGTTTTGAAAAAAATAATAAGTGAATCCAGGACACAAAAAAAAGTATGATGCGTAGCATATATAATATGATAATGAAACGTTTGTTATTCTGAAGAAGCATTTCCTTTTTTTATGTATTATTTTTTTCCATTAAAAATTCGCTATAAATACATAAATTTTAAAGGAAAAAAAATGATAATTATGTGTGGCTAAAAACAAGTAGAAATGCCGATTTTTCATCATGTAGCGTATAGGAAAAATAATAAATCACTCTGAATGGGATTAAAATCACTTGGGTCGATAACAAAAAAAAAAATATTGATCCACATTGACGGTCGATTTTATATCCTCAGTATCACAAAGAAACTCATACATAATTAAATTAAACATTAAAGGAAAAAAATGAATTAAAAAAAATCTAAAAAAATAATTCAATGTTATACTAGAGAATCTAACACAAAAAAATGGAAATAAAATTTTTTAATGGACAATGAGAACATAATTTTAGGATCAAATCAATTAAGTCATTTAATTTGTAATGAACGAATGAAATCCTTAACAGGAGTTATGTATGATGATGTATTCTCTTTAATAAAGTGCTATATTGAATCCTTGTCATCTTCATGATGCATTTCCCTATTAAAAAAATTTATATTTTTATCTAAACGTCTTTTCCATAAACAAATTTATTTGGCAGCATACTAAAAGGTGTTTCGATATTGGTCCCTAAATTTATGTATTACCAGTACTTAGCATTAGTAGTCCGTATACTTTAGTTCCTTTATTGAAAACCCTAGTGCTGCTTACACGGCGCGATAATGCAGATGAGTTTTATATTTTCTGTACAATTTGAATAATTAAATTCACCCTTATTTCAATTCTTTAACATTATTATTAATTATAAAAAATAGTTTTATGTTGACAAAAATATGAAAAGAAAATGGGAAAATTAAACAGAATTGTTACATGATAATAGTATGGTCTCTATAAAACCGATGAAATTAACTCATTTTTGTGTAATTAAAAAAACTCAAACCAATTAATTGATAATAGGAGTTAAATAATTGATAAGAAATAAATTGAAAACTCTGTTCATAAAATAACACTCACTGAGAGATGAAAATATTATATGAAAATTATTATTGAAAAGATTAAAAAAAAAAGGTAAAAACAATCGAAATAAGTTTTAAGCTCTTGGTCAAAATAAACATTTCGTAGAAAAAAAAAAATTAAGAAGAATGCTAAAGAAATATATATTTCCAGTCTTTAAGAAATATCTTGTTAAGATGAAAATGTTTATTCAGTGGCACCAACAAAATCTTATAGGATTACTGGACTTAGGGATGGAAACTCATTGAGATTATATGAGCTATAAAAATCAAATATGATCAAAATTATAAAATTCATTAATTATCTTAAATTGTTCCTTCTTCGGATAGCAAGAACTGACCGTAAATTTTTTTCAAATAGAGGATATCCAATAACTTGATAATTTTAATTCTTAAAAAAAAAATCTGAACAAAAAACAAACCAAATTTGCTCATACAATTCGAATATGAATTTCTTAACCCTTAGTATATCCTCCCAAGCTTCCTAGAGAATATTTATAAACATAAGCAAAATTTGAAACCTTAGTTAGCTTAAAAACTATTTGAAACTTAAAATTTAATGCCATTTCTCGCTGAATATTCATTTTCATTTTTCATTCATCTAAAAACAAAAATCCTCTGTAAAATGAATAAATTCAAAAAGTTTAATTTTTATTTCAAGAAAATAATTGAAAAATTCATTAGTCATGCAGAAGAAAAGGAAGGCAATTGTTTTGTCTGAAAATTTTCAAAATACAGAAAAATTACAAGTAAATCATCTTAATCTATTAAATCAGTTTCTCAAAAAAATTGGTTTGTATAATTGAAAATGATAATGATGATAAAGAAATCAAACAAAATGAAAATAATAAAATATAAACAGAGAAAAAAAATGAGGAAGCATCTTGTGTATAGTTAAATATATTTCAAAAATGAAAAATGAATAAAATAAAAAAAAAATAAACTGTTTAATATCAAAAATGTATTGACGTTTTAATTGAATTCTAATTCGATACTTTGGATCGAGTTACTTCACGAGGTTGATCAACAATGACTTTGAACAGAACAAAATTTCGGGAACTGAAAATATTTTAAAGAATAATTTGCAACAAAAACTTCAAAAGAGGAACTATGTATGATGAACGACACCCTGGCAATTTAAGGAATGGAAATAAATTGTGCCAAGTCCAGATCAGAGTTACAGGCAATAGTTTTGCCAGTCACATGTAAGCTTTCTCGATTTCTCGGTCTCGACAAATTCTCGAGACCGAGACCGAGACCGAGACTTCCCGGGAATTCCCGGGAAGTCTCGACTTTAAAAACTACTTAAAATTTCGCTGAAAGTAATTAAAAAACACTTTGAACATGTAGATTACGTCTATTTGTTATTGAACTTCTGGATATATTCCTTGTTATGCGGTCAGTCAAACTAATTTTATTGTCTTAATACTAATATAAAATATAATAGAAATACGAAATACGTAATGATAAAAGAAAAGCATAATGATAAGAAAGTGTGTCCCTATTAAAACTATTCTTTTTTTTGTGAAAATGTCAATAAGTTCGATAACGGTAAATTTAGTTTCAAACTATGAAAAATTATAGGAGTTTTTATTTTAAATTCAGGTTTTACGTTGAAATATTAATACATTTTAAAAACTGCTTAAAACTTTTACTAATAATTAATTTATTATTGATATTTATTCACAAAAATTGGATAGGGTAAATGACTTTGAAATTTGCGCAACCTTGAAATTTGCGCACTCGTATGAAAACGAAAATTTTAAAATTATATGTAAAAATGTCACTTCTGTTCAGACGATCAATGGGAAATGTTTGTAGAACACCAGCGCAGATGTTTTTGCATCATTTTTAGTGATATTAAACCATTAGGAAGCTCAATAATTTGCACCCGAAAAATCCCATACAAAAAGAGAAAAAATCCCATACCTCCGAAGAGATTGAAGCAAATAAAAGTTTCATGTGTGAAAATGCGCAAATTTCAAGGTCATTTACCCTAACTGTAAGATTAACTACAAACTGTGATGGGAAAAATTCTAAAATTATCATTTTTACTTAAATACTTTTCTTCTCTAGTCTCGGGTCTCGGTCTCGGAAAATTCTCGAGACCGAGACGAGATCGAGACCGAGACTTCCCGGGAAGTCTCGGTCTCGATTTCGTCATCGGGAAAGCATAGTCACATGCACATATCAATGCCTGTTGATAGGACTTGGACTCCAGTTCTCTGTATGTTTAAATGAATTTCTGTTGATCTCTGAAGCTTAACAGAGCTTTATTTAAAAGCTTTAATTTAAACGAGCAAAAGCTTCTGAAACTACAATTCAAATACCTTAAAAACGAGAATTTTTATTGTCATTAAATAGCAGGTGATTTATTCTAACACAGCTATAAAATGGCAATAACACGTTGAATGCAGACAATACTTATTTAACAGTACGAAACGAATATTTTTATGAAAAGCAGACGATCCAGCAACCAACAAGAGAGAGAAGCAGAAAAAAGAGAAAATAAGCCAGACAATGCAGCACTACACATGCAAAATGAACGATCGGAATGAAAGAATTCTTTGATAATTGCTGTGTCGTGCTTTCTATCTCTTTCCAATTGTGTGTATTCTTCATGTTACAACAGAAACAAAAAAAAATAATTTTTCTGTTAAGAACGAGTTTCTCAATTTGAGCGTTAGTCAGTGTTTGTCTTGCCTTAGCTTAGATTTGTCGTGCAAAACCTTAGTTCTGTAAAAAAACTCTTTTTTTTTGGACTACAAAAGGTAAATAAATCATCTTGAAGATTATTAAAAAAAAAAACTATTTTTTGAAATTTTAAATTTTTTTAATTTCATTAAAAACTGTATGGATTATGATAAAGTCATTCAATAGATTTCAGTTCGCATAATTAGCAATAAAATAGATACAAAACAAAATCTAGCTTTTGAACTGATAATTATATTCAAATTTAAAATCCATTATATTTTTAAATTTATCTAGTCAAATTTATTACACATTTTTAAATTCTTTTGTCAAATTCAAAAGTTATCGAAAAGAAGTCGACGTGGCCATAACAAATGCTTTGCGTGTTAATGACACTTAAAGAAATGAAGAAGATTCTTTCCGTGATTCATAACAAGCAGCAGAAAATTTAAGATATATCATAATTTAAAACTTATTAATGTCTTAAATCTATTACATCATAATAATACTATTATAATTTAATTATTCTTAGAAAGAATCGTGATCTCTCTATATTGTTATTCTTAAATCACGTGGCATAGTTGTTGACTAATATTGAGGAATCTTACTATTTTTTCAATCGTAACACAGTCTCACTCAATAACCAATAAGAATAAAAATGTGTAAAGACAAATGAAACATTTGTCGTAAAAAAGATAAATTGGTATCAAACTCGACGCAGTTGCCGGATCTTCAAAGCGCTTTATTAGGAAAATTTTATATTGTAAGCTTTTAAAGCTATCTTTATATCTGCATTAGGCGAGCAGAAAGAAGGATTTAAATCTCGAAAAATACCAACACCCCCCCCCCCCCCCCCTAACGAAATGTTCAACCAAAAACAGCAAGACAAAGTAAAGTTTGTAAAATTACCTTGGCTAAGAAATACTTGAGAATCTTTTTTGATTTATCTATCAATTTGTTAACATTTTTTACTACGGAAGTATTGTCATTGAAGCACCACATTGACTTGTTCAAACATAATCATTGAATTTAAACCAAAAAAAGCTTTCTTTTTATTACACGCTTTATTGTTACTATTCAAGTCGTTTCTAAAGAATCGTAGCTAACGTTAAAGACTTTATTTAAATTCTGTTGTCAGAAAACAAATTTTTGAATAGACTTCACACATCTCCAGATACCTTTTAATGTTAGATATATTTTCTCAGCCACTGTTATTAATATCAGAATCATTATATTAGAGACATCACAAATACGATATAAAGAAAAATGGCAAACAATGGCAGCGTTTTGGTAACAGGAGCTTCAGGCTATATCGGAAGCCATTGTATTGTGACTTTATTGGAAGGCAAGTTAACATCTTTATAGAAGAAAATTAGATTTTATAAACATATTTTTTATCTAGCTGGATACGATGTTGTTGCTCTTGACAACTTTACAAATTGCGTACAAGGACCAAATGGAGAATCTGTAGCACTTAGACGTGTTGAAGAAATCACCGGCAAGAAAATTGTCTTTTACCCTTGCGATCTACTTGACGTTGATTTCTTAAAAAAGATATTTGAACAACACAATATTGCTTCAGTGATTCATTTTGCCGCTATGAAAGCTGTAGGCGAATCTATGCAATTTCCATTGCTGTATTATAAAAATAATCTCATTGGAATGATTAATTTACTTGAGGTGAATTTGATTCTTGTAAAATGAGACAAAGCACATTAATTAAGAAAATGATGTTATTTTTTTAGATGATGAAAGAACATAACATATTTAATTTGGTATTCAGTAGTTCGTGTACGGTATATGGAGAACCGGAAAAGCTCCCAATAACAGAAGAAAATGAAACTGGAAAAAATGTAACAAATGTTTATGGACGAACGAAATATTTCGTTGAAGAAATGCTTCGTGATTTATCAAAGGCAGATGAAAGATGGAATATTATTGCTTTGCGTTATTTTAATCCTGTAGGGGCACATAAAACAGGAAAAATTGGTGAGGATCCTACAAAACCTTTCACAAATTTAATGCCATTCATTAGTCAAGTAGCTATCGGGAAAAAAGACATTGTCACGATTCTTGGTGATGACTATCAGACACCAGACGGAACAGGTGTTCGTGATTACATTCATGTAATGGATCTTGCCACAGGACATGTATCTGCCATGAACAAACTTGAAAAAGGAAAATTTGGTATAAAATTTTATAATCTTGGAACTGGCAAAGGAGTTTCCGTTCTTCAGCTCATAAAAACATTCGAAACTGTCAATAAAGTCAAAGTTCCTTACGTTATTCTGCCACGTCGTGAAGGAGACATCTGTGAAATGTATGCAGACCCAAAATTAGCAGAAAATGAGTTAGGCTGGAAAGCAAAACATACATTAGAGGAAATGTGCGCTGACTTCTGGCTTTGGCAAACTTTAAACCCAAATGGATACAAACTTGATACCGCTCATACTAACGGACATTGATTTTGCTTTTAGATTATTCTAATTCAGGTTTCAAACTTAAAAGGAGAAGCTTTTATTTCTATTTTTTTTTTTCGCTTTTATTCAGCATTTTAAATACAAATTTTCATTCGCGTTTATGTGGTTTTTCATATGAATAAAATTATTATTTTAAGGGGCTGTTCACTTATTACGTAACGTGAAAAAATGACTTCTTAGACCCCCCCCCACCCTCGTAACAAAATTTGTATGAAAAAAAAATTTCTTTGTTTGAACCGTAACAAAATCTTAGACCCCCCCTCCCCCTAAAAGCGTTACGTAATAAGTGAATGGCCCCTAAGACGAAAAAAAACAAAATTTATTGCTGTGTATTTTATAAATTTCATAATGAGCTTTTTGGAAAGTTTTGAAAAAGTTTCTAAGGAATTGTTCATCAATGATGTCTAATATTAAGACAGATAATGATTGAAGATAAAGAAACTATCTGAGACGGTGAAGGGAGGATTTTCCAAATAAGGGTCAATCAAAATGTTCAACCAGCATTAAAGTATGTTTATCCGCTTGACCTAATCACAGAAGAATATATCTCAAAATAATAAAAGATAAATGTCATTGAATCATCGACCTTAAATTCTGAAAAATAAAATTGATTGATCCATGAATCGGGGCAATCAGTAAAAAAGCTTTTCCCAAAGGTGAAAACATATCCATCCGTTAAGATACAAATCAAACAGTTTAAATGTGCGCATGTTTTTTGAGAGCTACAGTAAATTCTCTATTTTTTGATTCATTCATGTTAGGAAAAATGGATACAGAAGCATTTGATAGGATCATGCTGTGGAATTTACTCTCATTTTCTCAATGTTTGTTATCATAAAAAGTTTCAGCTGATAATATTCATGATGTGTAAAATACGAAAAGGAAATCATTTCTCTTGCAACAAGTGAGCAAGTTAGACACGCGATTATTTTTGTACATTCTTTAAGGAAAATAAAAAAAAAATATAAATTTCGTCTTTGGATACATACAAACATTGAAAAGAGAGTAAGATTATAAATAAGAGGATAAAAAATGTGTACGAGTGTGAAGTGAATAAAGTAGGAAATTTTATTGCAAAAATTCGAAATACGACTCCTATCTCATGGTACATATAGAAAATTGAGCAAGTAAATCGCTTGTGAATTTGTGCTGTAAGGAATAAATTAGTCAATTTGGTCTTGTACGATAACAATCTGCCAGTCAGCTAACGAATAAAAAAATTATCATTATCGATTTTTGATCTGAAATAAAAAGTGTTCGGTTAGTGAATTTTGCGTGTGACAGTGTACATATATGCAGTGTTTGGAGCTAACTGATAAAATCAAATAGAGATATTGGAAACGCATATGTAATAAAAATACAAGTGAACGAGATGGATTTGCATTTTTAGAGCTTTGGAATTAATGTGAGTTGCAGAAACTTTTATTTCCATATCGTTAAATGACTTTACAGATAGCATATGTTGGTTGAACAATGAAAAAAGTTTGACCTTTTTGGAATTAATTAAATTTGCTTTTAAAATATAAATAATTAATTCTATTCATTAAATGTTTATCCTGAAAAAAATAGGGACATTTTTTTAGTTTCTAGAAGCTTTTTTATTTTTTTGGGTTGTTGTTTAATTTGTTCAACCCTTAAGCAATTGAAAATAATAATTTGTTTTCCTGACTTGTTGTGCTGTTTGTATATATGTAGATAAATACAACATAGCAATTTATGTTTGCTTGTTGAAAGTGACAGCCTCATTCCAATGATGTTTTCCTAAAGTTTTCTTTTTATAGAAAAGTTAATCATGTTTTATAAAAGTTTCGTGTATGTATTGAAGTTTTAATTTTATTTTACAACAATATTGAAATTTTCCCAGTTGACTTTTTTGACGTATGACAGTAAAAAAATTAATTAAACGAAAAGTTATACAGTATGTGAAATGGAATGTTAAAAAGTATGAACTATGATACATTTAGATTTTTGATCATCTTGCATTAATTTGTGCAAAAAGGTGTGTAGCCAAAAGCGACGTGCGGGTTGAATCCGATATTTTATGCAAATTTGATAAAATTATTCTAAAAAATCATCTTAAATCATTTTTGGCATACACAACACCACAGTTCAGACTACTAGAGATTATATGTAAGTTATTTTTATGAGGATTAAAATGTCTTTCTTACTTTTAACAAGAAAAAAAATAGGAGATAGATATCAATGAAACCTGATTAGGGAATTGTGCTTGAACAATTTGAATGGAATGTAGAAAGAAGGAAGTAATTTTCTCAAACTTTTATTTTCTTTGTGCTCCGTTTGTTAAAGTATTGATTTTTTTACGGTCAGCACTGTGAACTGTTGCATATACTCAGGATAATGGAAAAAATAAATAAAATACAAGTATCTCAACCTCAATCTAAAAATCCCTAAAATGCAGCTACCCTAAAATGCAGATATTACTGCCAAGATGCAGATGGTATGCTTTCTCGCTATCGGGATCGGGATCGGGATTTCCCGGGATTTACCGATCCCGATCAATCCCGGGATCCCGAAATTTATCGGGATCGGGATTGAAAATCCCGGTTTTTTAATTTAGGAAATTATTGATGTTTTAGAACCTGCTAAATACGCGACAGAAGAATTATTGCGTAAATCAGACGATTTATTAATTGCTGAAGGAACAATTAACTTTTTGCTAGACGAATTGTTGCTACAAGGAACATTATTGTCTCAAAAGGTTTACGATATGAATTGCGCTCGCATAGGTGCACGAAGAAATGGAACATTAATTGACTTAATACTTTACCTCAATATATTTCTTTAGACAAGCATTTTAAATCGTCAACAAAAGCTGCAATACATAAACTTGGCATTGACTTATTGAAAAAGTATTTTGTCAAAAACTCTACAAATGGAGCTATGGAAGCTTCAACATCCAGTGCAAATCAAATCCAACCGTCAAACATTTCTATTCGAGATAGACTGAAACTAAGCATATCTGAATATACATCATTAACAACAGATGCAGCAGCAACAGAACCAAATAACTTGAAAAGAGAGTTTAATTGGTATGACAAAAATAAGAAGAGAACCGTTTTGTTAGATCAACTTTACGATGCATTGATAACAATGCAGCCGACCTCAACTCAAAGCGAACGAAATTTCTCTATTAGTAACAACATTCTTACAAAACAAAGAAAACGTTTACTTGACAAGAATCTAAATGCAATTGCATTTGTTAAAAGTTTTTTCATTAATGCTTAATTTTTATTATTATATTCACACCGTTTTCTATAACCTTTAAACTTACATCTTTATCAACATTTATTTTCTATTTTTGTTTATGTTCACATTTTTCAAAGGAAACATGGATTAAAACATCTACCTTGTAACACATAAATTATAACTAATTAATTAAGGAATAAATGACCGTATAAGTAGCAAAAAAATATATAATTTTTTTTGGAAAAAAAAGCAGAAAAATGCTGTTTTTTAAATTTTTTTACATATTCGGGATTCCCGGGATTTCCCGGGATTTCCCGGGAAATCCCGAAAAATTTCAATCCCGATCCCGATCCCGAAAATTTGTCGGGACCGGGATTTCGAGAAAGCATAGCAGATGGTATTGCTAAAGTGCAGATCAAATTTATTTTCCCTAAGATGCAGATGAAATGCTGTTGCTTTAAAAAAGGTATAATGCAGATGATTTTTATTGATAAAGTGCAGATAAGATGCTGCCCAAATGTAGATCGCATTATTTTATTAAAATAAAGATGAAATGCTGTTATAATGTAGATAAATAACGTTGGATACTAATTTTTTGGGCCCCGACAAAAAAAAACATTCGTGAGTGACGCTATGATTTCTTAAATATCTCCAAAACCACAAAAGTGACAAATTTCAAAGTTATTTTATCTTGTAGAAAACAAAAATTGCTTTCTTTTGACATAGAACTTACTTCCTAAAGTTAAGGAGTTATGTCGGAAAATCACTTTAATTAAGCGTCACTCACGAATAATTTTTGTGAATTTTGTTAAAACTTTGTCAGTTTTCATTGATATATCTCAAATTTTTTTTTTTATATTCACACCGTTTTCACATGTGAATCTATTGGTTTTGTTCAGATTGAAAATCAGTTTTTTTGCATGTTGTAAGAAAACGAAGCAAAATTGGTTATAAAAGGTCCTTGAAGACTAGTGTATCGGGTAGAAACCCAATGCGGATATATTCACACCGTACCATCAAAAGTCTTATGGATAGACCAAGATTTGCTCAGCATAAGTTTGAAGGGTGGGCGTGAACTACGGCCCAGACCCATATCGACACAGCTCAAACGTTATACCTAATTTATGTCATAATTATGTCAGCTACAAAAACACTTAGTTTGAATTTTGTCACCCTCGGGAACACTATGAACCAGTATAGCTGATTTTGGTCCAAATTTCGGCCATACTTCACACTTATTTGAACCACATTTTCTTGTAAATGTTAAAATATTATTATAAAGTAATTAATCCTGAATTATGTCGCTATTTTGTCAAGTGTTTTAAGATAAAAAATTTGTTTTTTGGTTTCCACAGTAAAGAGTATGAACACAATTCAGATGGGGAAGTCGCAATTTTAGATTTCGATTTTTTTTAAGCTATGCATTACAAAAAGTAATATTGGTATGTGATTTATGTCAGAATTATGTCAATTCAAATAAAACATTCAAAAAAATTTTTTTGTCAAAAGTACACCATAGAAAATCAATTTTCAATTTTGGACTAGGGACTAGGGTCGCCCCTAGTCCAAAATTGAAAATGTATTTCCTACTTGGTTCTTTGCTCAAAAAAATTTTGGGATGTTTTATTTGTGTTTGTTTTAAGCACTAGAATATTTATGCAAAGTTTCAATCCATTTGGATAAACCCTCGAAGAAAAAAGTGACAAAATTGATTTTGACTAGGGTCGCCCCTAGTACAAAATTGAAAATGTATTTCCTACTTGGTTCTTTGCTCAAAAAAATTTTTGAACGTTTTATTTGTATTTGTTTTAAGCACTAGAATATTTATGCAAAGTTTCAATCCATTTGGATAAACCCTCGAAAAAAAAGGTGACAAAATTGATTTTGACTAGGGTCGCCCCTAGTACAAAATTGAAAATGTATTTCCTACTTGGTTCTTTGCTCAAAAAAATTTTTGAACGTTTTATTTGTATTTGTTTTAATCACTAGAATACTTATGCAAAGTTTCAATCCATTTGTATAAACCTTCAAAGAAAAAAGTGACAAAATTGATTTTGACTAGGATCGCCCCTAGTCCAAAATTGAAAATGTATTTCCTACTTGGTTCTTTGCTCAAAAAAATTTTAGGATGTTTTTTTTGTATTTGTTTTAAGCACTAGAATATTTATGCAAAGTTTCAATCCATTTGGATAAACCCTCGAAAAAAAAGTGACAAAATTGATTTTGACTAGGGTCGCCCCTAGTCCAAAATTAAAAATGTATTTGCTTCTTGGTTCTTTGCTCAAAAAAATTTTTGAATGTTTTATTTGTATTTGTTATAATCACTAGAATATTTATGCAAAGTTTCAATCCATTTGGATAAACCCTCGAAAAAAAAGGTGACAAAATTGATTTTGACTAGGGTCGCCCCTAGTACAAAATTGAAAATGTATTTCCTCCTTGGTTCTTTGCTCAAAAAAATTTTTGATTGTTTTATTTGTATTTGTTTTAAGCACTAGTGAAAAAAAAAGTGACAAAATTGATTTTGACTAGGGTCGCCCCTAGTCCAAAATTGAAAATGTATTTCCTACTTGGTTCTTTGCTCAAAAAATTTTTTGAATGTTTTATTTGTATTTGTTTTAAGCACTTTAATATTTATGAAAAGTTTCAATCCATTTGGATAAACCCTCGAAGAAAAAAGGTGACAAAATTGATTTTGACTAGGGTCGCCCCTAGTACAAAATTGAAAATATATTTCCTCCTTGGTTCTTTGCTCAAAAAAATTTTTGATTGTTTTATTTGTATTTGTTTTAAGCACTAGAATATTTATGCAAAGTTTCAATCCATTTGGATAAACCCTCGAAGAAAAAAGGTGACAAAATTGATTTTGACTAGGGTCGCCCCTAGTCCAAAATTGAAAATGTATTTCCTCCTTGGTTCTTTGCTCAAAAAAATTTTTGATTGTTTTATTTGTATTTGTTTTAAGCACTAGAATATTTATGCAAAGTTTCAATCCATTTGGATAAACCCTCGAAAAAAAAGTGACAAAATTGATTTTGACTAGGGTCGCCCCTAGTACAAAATTGAAAATGTATTTCCTCCTTGGTTCTTTGCTCAAAAAAATTTTTGATTGTTTTATTTGTATTTGTTTTAAGCACTAGTGAAAAAAAAGTGACAAAATTGATTTTGACTAGGGTCGCCCCTAGTCCAAAATTGAAA